TTGAAATGGGCCCACACAGTTCTATTCAGGGGTGAAAGGCATTCAAAGTCTATGGACCTGTTAGTCCTGTGCCTAGGTTGCTGTGCCTGCCCTGAGTTCCCGCTTAGGGGAGCTGGCAGATTATTTCTTCCTGTTTGTTAATTTGTTCCTTCTCCAAGGCCAGGAGAATGTCTCAGGGCACATGACAGGTCCTACTTCTGGCGCAAGGGATACAGCAATCTCTGAAGCCGGCCTGGGACCCAGTGCAGAGCAGGGAGGGGGTAAGTAAATGGGAGACAGGTTCTTCCCAAATGGGGTGTTTTTTGATCCGTGCGGTAGGTTAGATGCATGTCCTTATCTTTTGCCAGTTGAGCGCCACTTTTCACTGGTTCTGGAGGCTTGAGTAGATTCTCTTCCGCTCAAGTCTCTCCCAACGTGGAAAATGCATCCTGAACACCACTGCTTGCCTCACCATGCACGCCAGCCAATCTGGCCTGCAGGGTGTCAGTTCCTGCCAGGTCAGGTCTGGCAACTCCTTTCTGCTTCTGAACTACCTCTCCCTCCCCCCACCACTCAGTCTGATTCCTCAACTTTGCCTTCAATGTTCAAGGCTCCTGGATTGTCCTATATAATCAATTCACTTGTTTTTTTGGGTCTTTGTTGTAAGAGGGACCACTGAAAGTGTCTGACTACTCCACCATCTTGGCCCTGCCTCTCAAAATTAATTTTAACTGAGTGTCCTGTATTTTTATTTGCTAAATTTGGCAAACTACAAGTCCACAGGGAACACAAAGGACAGAGAAACATATTAAAAGAACCAGGATGAGGTAATCAGCACAAAACTATGGGTAAATCTACAAGAAGAACAACCAGATTGCTTCAACAAAGAAATGTCAAAGAAAGAGAAGAAAAGAGAGAGCCTAGATTAAAAAGAGACTTATGAGACACAAAAACCAATCAAAATGTGTAGATTTTATTTGGAGTCTGATTTAGGCTATTAAAAAATTTGACATTTGCGATATTGTTGGTAATTTGAACACTGATTAGATATTTGATTATATTAAGGAATTATTAATTTTCAGACATGATAGTGGTTGCGTATTCTTATCTTTTAGAAATCCATATCGACATGTTCATGGATGAAATTATATGACATACAGGAGGAGCTTCACAATAATCTGGGAGAGAGAGAAGTGGAAGATGTATAGATGTAACAAGATTGGCTTTGAGTTGATGATTGTTCAAGCTTCATGAAAAGTACATGTGATTTCATTATACTATTCTCTTTCCTTCTGTATATGTTTGAAATTCTCCATAATAAAAAAGTTTTTTAAAAAAACAATATCGAGCACAGTGCCTGACATGACATACTGTAAACACTTAATACATTTTGTTGGAGGGCAAATGAGTTTGTTACTTTTTTAAAAACCTCTCAGATGACCATCAAATAGAAAAATATTTTTGATGTGAGATTCCAAGCATGAATATGCCTGAGAACACAAATGAGATTCATTTAGAGACTACACTATATTCAAACTGAAACAATAATGAATTTGCTCAGACTAGGGAATTTGTTTATTGCACATGAACAGTTGAGAAACTCTCGGCAGGAGAGATACATATAGGTACTTCATTCAGGCAAACACAGAAGACATTTTTAACCCTCCAAAAAGATGTTATGCAGAAAACAATCCACCTTAGATTTTCTTCAATATTTATTATTCCAGTGAACTGTTGTGGAAAGTCATGTTAATTTCCCAAAGGCCTTAGGGCAGATTTCAAACATTTGAGTGCTCACATGCAAGCGAATGTTCAATTACTAGAAATTAATCACCTTTATGCTGAATAAGGAAACCCTGGTGGCGTAGTGGTTAAGAGCTATTGCTGCTAACCAAAAGGTTGTCAGTTCGAATACAGCAGGCGCTCCTTGGAAACCCTATGGGGCAGTTCTACTCTGTCCTCCAGGGTCACTATGAGTTGGAATCAACTCAACAGCAACAGATTTGTTTTTTTTTGTTTGTTTGTTTGTTTTGTTTTTTGGATGCTGAATAATGCATACACTTGGCAGAATACCAAAAAGGCAGTGTTTTCAGTTTTGAATGCAGTTCTGCCTTGCCTGCTATGTACATGAAGGCAACCAAATTCAAAAGCAACCCCCCACAAAAGGTGCAGGTTAGTGTGTTTAGTGAAGTGTTTAGTGTAGGTTAGTGAAATAAGCTATCTTTTTTTTAATGCTTAATATTCCATTATATGGATGTATCATAATTCAGCCATTCCCTTATTTATAAATGCTTCCCACTTTTGCTATTATAAACAACAATGCATCCATCCTTATACATTTGGCCTTACATTCCTATGTTTTAATCTCTGTGGGAGCGATTACTAGAAGTAGATTTGCTGGGCCCACTTATATGCTGACGGTAAACATTCTTAATTTTAATAGATACTACTTGCATGATTTATTAAGGCTATAATACGGAATGGTGTCTAAAAAGTGCAATCACCTAACTATAAGTCAATCATCTCCCTAACTTCATTTCAAATGTTAAATATATTTAAATTCTGCTTTAAGTAGAGTACTGGATTCTTAAACAATCTCTCATTAGAAGTGTTTTTGGTGTTGAAAATCCCACGGTTTATTCTGTTTCAGAGTATTGTGTATCAGTACTTCCAGTTTGGTATACCTTCCTGTACTAGAAAGAAGAAACGTTTTAAATTGCCTCCTTATCATTGTCTCTGAATTCTGAGTGCAATTTCTGTCTTTCCTTGGTCCTTTTTTGCAAGGAGAGACTAGTTCTCTGCACTTTTTAAAAGGTATTTCTTTCTGGTATCTTGTCCTCTTTTTCTTTTTGTCCCTTTAATTTTTTAAATTCCTTTATTTGCTCCTTTTCAAATTCAAAAGTAATAAATGCTTGTTATAACTAGTGAATGCAATACAAAGATGGATAATGACAAAGTTAATCATCCTCACCTCAACCTCCTGATGTTATTAATACTGCTGGGTATACTTCTGCTGTCTCTTGCTCATACTAACAAACCAAGCATATGTGCACATATATAAAATTTTGTTTGTTACCGAAGTATAATCATACTATATACATTATTCTGCACCTTGTTTCACTTAACTACATATATGTATGTGTGTGTATACATTTATATCTATATTTGTGACAATCTAAAAATGACAATATATATCACTTAACAAAATATAATGGAGATATTCTGCAGTATTAAATTCCTTTCCAGTTCAAAAATTCATTTTTTGTATTCCTTAGAGTCGGGGGCTGACTCAAAGGCAGCTAATAACAACAGAAAATACATCACTATTACAATTATTTGTAATGAATTGTTTAATGTCTTCCTTCCCTGATAGACTGAGAGCTCCATATTTCACAGGGGACTTATTTTGTTCACTACTATATCCCCAGAATTAAGGTAGCACTGCTGTGATAGTAATTGTCTAAAACCTATTTGTTCTTGAATGAATAGTCAGTGTTCTCTGAAACCTTCCAGCCTACTTAAACTGGGTCATTGCCAATATAGGTACTCAAATAGATGTGTCTTTGGAAACTCAGCCTGAAGTAACCACCAAAACAAAACAAAACAAAACAAAAACCAAACCCACTGCTGTCGGGTCGATTCCAACTCATAGCGACCCTAAAGGACCGAGTAGAACTGCCCCATATGGTTTCCAAGGAGTACCTGGTGGGTTTGAACTGCCGACCTTTCGGTTAGCAGCTGAGCTCTTAATCACTATACCACCAGGGTTTCCATACTAGTAGCTAATTTAGAGAAATCACTCAATTAATGCTATTTGAATGGAACCTTGTGACGATACTTTTAAAATATTTGTAGGGATTTGTGCTTTTTAGCAAAAATCCCTCTCTGCCACAAAAAGTATTTTAAGATAGACCATATATTTAGTGGAAAGAGTTCTGCACTTGTACTTAAGAGACCCGTATTCTACTCCCGCCTCTACCGCTAACTAGCTATGTGACCTTCATTAAGTTTCTTATCCTCTCTGGGCCTGGTGCCTCATCTGCAGCTCTAATTCATTTAATTCCACTAATATTGTCTACTGCGTGCCGGCACTAGGTTGACAGGTGAATAATAATAACAGCCAGCATTTGCTGAATGCTTACTCTGTGCTTGGTGTTTTGCTAAGGGAGTCACACGCACTATCTCATTTAATCTCCTCTGAGAGGCAACACTGTGATATTTTCTATATTTTACAAAAGAAGGCACTGATGCGTTGAGAGGTGAAGTAACTTTCTGAGGACATCAAAGCAAGTGGCGAAGATAGGATTGGATTCCAAGCAGTGTGCCTTCGGATCCCACTCCAGTAACCATAGCTAATTCTTGCCCTCATAATTCAATAATTTTAGTGGCTTGCATTTGGGACCCAGCCCAAAAGTACTGGGGTGGAGCACCTTCTTGCCAATATAAGGGTGCAATGACGCAGAGGTACCTTACAGAAACCATTGAGACATCCCACACACAGCTGCCAGGAACAAGTCTCTTCGACACTCTCGGTTTCCACACCGGGAAGGTGAAGAGGTGGGAGGTGTCGGCGGGTCCGACGCATGCCCGCCTCTCTAAGCGTCCCATTGGGTACAGGAGAGCGTGCGGGGGCGGGGAAAAGGGCGCGCTGCGTGCGCGTGGCGAGAAAGAGGCGCGCTGCGTGGGCGCCGGCCCTTCCGACGTCTGCGCTGGCGAGAGGCCCAGCCCGGCCAAGGGCCCGTTTGCGCCGCCCCTGCTATCTTCGCGGTCGTGGCCGCAGCTTCTTGGTCGTCCCTACCTTTAGCGAAACCAACGAGAGGACTCTGCCTGCAGCTAGAGCAGCCTGACTGGGAGTGTAACCCAGTACCGCGGGGACCTGAGAGGAAAGCCGTGCGCGGCTGCGCTTTCCCGCCCCTGAGACGTTGTAGACACCGGTGAGTGCCGGGGTCTCGGCCCCCACCCCAGCGGACCCCAGAGCGGCCTGACCCCGCCTCTTCCCTGAGGAGGGCCTGGGCCCTTGCTCACTCCCAGCATGCTCCACGCGGGACGCCAAGGCAGGTGCTGCGGGAGGAATAGTCAGTGGGGGAGATGGAGAGTTTTGAGGTGACCGTGTCCTACCCCCTCACTTCTGTTCTCCATTTCGCCCTCGTCTCGTTTTGATACTCCACCCCAGCACCTTCACCTTCTAAAGAGATTCATCCCAACCACTCTGATAGTGCTTCATTTGTGCCTGTTTTAAGTTTCCCTCTCCTCTGCTCCAAATAATCCTATCATGTGCGTTCCCAGTGTTACCTGTTTTTGCCTCCCTTGATTGGAAAGAAAAATCTACTCCTTAGAAAAATTTGTGTAAATGATTTTGTTTAAAAATTGTTGACTTCTTGGGTTTTGTTCAATATTTTTGCATGAGTAGTATGCCATCAGGCAGAATTCTGACATATATTTGCCATTATGGAGCTAAGAGACACGTGGATTATATGTTGGCTAGAAATAATGAAAGGTGTGTAATATGAAATGTCATATTCCAATATACGTTAATTTTAGAGCGCCTCTGACAGTTCTAACATTAAGCAAAGCTTGTTTCCTGTTACTTCTCTTTCCTTCTTGGAGCTGTGTTTATTGATCAAGTGCCGTGAGTGATACAGTGCAACCATCCTGCCTCTCCCCCACTCCAGTTCTTAGTCTGGTGATGTTGGGTGCAAAATGTCAATTATGGTTAACAGATCCCCACGTTTGTTTGTTTTTTTATCTGTAGGAAAACAAGTGATTCATTTATTAAAGTTTAAATACTTTGGGTAGAAGCACCATGGAGATTGCTATGAAAAAAGTATTAAAGTGATGTCAGGAAATCTGGTGTCTAGTTCCACTTCTACCACTAACTTTGTGACTTCAGATCAGTTACTTAACCTCTCTAAACCTCAGTTTCCCTATTGTAAAATGAGATAGAAGGCATTAGATAGCTTCCAAAGCCCCTTTGAACTTTAAGAGACAAAGGGAAAATCTAAGTAGCTCAATAAAACATTCTTTGTGGAGATGAAGTGGTGATTGGGAGAATTCTAGCCTTTGCTAGTATAAATGGTAGTTGTATTTAATGTTGGCTTTTCCAATTGAAATAAAAGTGTAGCATTATCCTTTTTTTTACTTTCCCAAAGAAGAAGAAAATGTCTTTTCAGGAAATAAAATGTTCATTAATGGTCCCCAGATATGCCCGTATTGACTCAGTTCTCATCCAAATAATTATTCTCATTATGAGCTTTTAATACTACAATTAGTTGAGGTACTGTGTTAGGTACTGTATTGTAAACCATTTAGTTTTAGGAACAAAAGTGTAAATATTAACATATATGCTATCAATCTCAAGATACTTGATTTAGATGTACTCAAAACACCTAAGGTTAGGAGCCATAAGTTAAATAAAGTACTAAGTTGAGAATAGAAATGTCAACACAGATACCATTGGTGATTTGCCAGTTGTAGGTGGCTTTATCTGTTAAATTTAAGGTTTTGGTGTGAAGGTCCATTTATATCGCAAAGGTATTTGAATAATATAATGCAAGCTTGTGAAACAGAATTCCTTTAAAGAGAATGATGAACGGACAACTTCTGTAACATTGGTTTCTAGGGTTAATGCTTTTAGTACTTGGTTAATTCAATCCCCACAGATGAAGTGCAAAAAAAGAGCCTCCCCACAGCAAATTCTACTCCATAGAGGAGTTGCTTCAAAGTTCCAGTTTACACCAAACGGTAATCAGATACCATTGGAAGCTAAAGATTCCTAGGGTCGTTGGTACTATGTACAACTAACTGGATTTCAAACTTGGGAACCTTTTTAATGTTTAGAGCAAAATGTAAGTATATAAGGAATACCAAATCAAATTACTAGACTAATCTTTTTCCTTTAAGTATTTTAAGGATCTTTTTCTTCTTTATAGGAAAAATGCTTTCTGAAAGCAGTTCATTTTTGAAGGGTATGATGCTCGGAAGCATTTTCTGTGCCTTGATCACTATGCTAGGCCATATTAGGATTGGTCATGGAAATAGAATGCACCACCATGAGCATCATCACCTACAAGCTCCTAACAAAGAAGATATCTTGAAAATTTCAGAGGATGAACGCATGGAGCTCAGTAAGAGCTTTCGGGTGTACTGTATCATCCTTGTAAAACCCAAAGATGTGAGTCTCTGGGCTGCAGTGAAGGAGACTTGGACCAAACACTGTGACAAAGCAGAGTTCTTCAGTTCTGAAAATGTTAAAGTGTTTGAATCAATTAATATGGAAACAGATGACATGTGGATAATGATGAGAAAAGCTTACGAATATGCCTTTGCTAAATATAAAGACCAATACAACTGGTTCTTCCTTGCACGCCCCACTACGTTTGCCATTATTGAAAACTTAAAGTATTTTTTGTTAAAAAAGGATCCATCACAGCCCTTCTATCTAGGCCACACTATAAAATCTGGAGACCTCGAATATGTGAGTGTGGAAGGAGGAATTGTCTTAAGCATAGAATCCATGAAAAGACTAAACAGCCTTCTCAGTATCCCTGAGAAGTGTCCTGAACAGGGAGGGATGATTTGGAAGATATCTGAAGATAAGCAGCTAGCAGTCTGCCTGAAATATGCTGGAGTGTTTGCAGAAAATGCAGAAGATTCTGAAGGAAAAGATGTATTTAATACCAAATCTATTGGGCTTTTTATTAAAGAGGCAATGACTAATCAACCCCAGCAGGTAGTAGAAGGATGTTGTTCAGATATGGCTGTTACTTTTAATGGACTGACACCTAATCAGATGCATGTGATGATGTATGGGGTATACCGTCTTAGGGCATTTGGGCATATTTTCAATGATGCATTGGTTTTCTTACCTCCAAATGGTTCTGACAATGACTGAGAATTGGAATTGAGAGCATATGTACACTGTATAGGACATGAGTTGTCATTATTTGTGGTAACAACTACATATCCAACACAGTGGTATGTTTCTTTTCTTTTCCTCTTTCTTAAATTTTTTTTTTTTAATTTGGTGACACTGGTATAATTACACATTAAAATTTAGTAGTGCATTTTTAAATGGGGTGGTATTTTTTCCTTAAAAATACAAATATGTTGGAAAGAAATGTTTTAATAGTAATTTTGCAAGTAAAGAGTATAGTTGTAAACATTGATTTATGTGGTAAATTCTAAATTATGAACATTAAAAAAACTAATGTGGCACATATTTTTGCTGATTGGTTAAAAAAATTTAAATGTCTTTTCTAGCTTTCTAAGATATGAAAATGAATCTCTAGTTGTGAATTTGCCATTAAAGTAAAACTTTAGCTGTGTTATTTCTTTAATGTTGATTCATGTTCTAAGCTTCCCCAAGCACCAATAGATTTGTCTTCTTAAAATATACAACCAAGCGACTAAGGAAGTGTTCCTAACCAATGTTAAAGTGCAAGTGTAAATCTGTCCCCCAAAGAAAGACTGAAAATGACTTACAAATATTAAGTAATTTTTCTGGGAGCTAATTCAGTGGCATTCCTCAGAATGCACAATTTCAGTGTGACTCTGTGTACACTGTATGCAGACACTGAAATTGGAGTGGTGATTATAAATAAGATAATGTCATTTAATGGTGTGGTTTCCCAGTTAAACAAGCTCCCAACTAGGGCTTGCATAAAAATTTATCAGTTGAGATTTATTTACTCCTATTGGGCAAATGAGTTCTGTGAAGTCTCCTTTGAAGAACTTGTTTTGGGCAGTCTGGCAGTTTCACTTGCCTGAATTGAGTGTGTCCTGGTTTTTATCTGTTGAAATTCTGAGATTCTCCCAGGTTCATGGTTGTACCATATCCAACTGTTTTTGGTCTAGGGTCCCTTACCTCACCATTCACCTTGGATTAACATACCATTTGCCTAATTTCAGTGGCTATAGGGCTGCCATGAGTCAGAATCAACTCGATAGCAATGGGTACCCAGAAGCTTTACCCAGTGGTAGATACAACAGTTCCTGTGCCTAAAATCTTGTCCCATAATCTAGCCTGCATGTGCTGTATTAAATCAGAGCTATATACCCACATAGGATGTGAGACTATGACATTTTAGAGATCAATATTTACTGTTACTGGCCTCATGACATTAATGGTCTTCTACAGCTTTAGCAAACCAGAAAGATAATTTCCTCAAGAGGGTCTCAGGCTTCAGATTATTGGTCCTCAGAGTAGTGTGTAAAACCCTTTGTTTTAATTTCTCTGATTTTCTTTATTGGGGCTTTTGGTTAAGATAAAGGGTTATTAATAATTTTGAAGAGTAATAAAACCTCTTTATCAGACACCCTAGTATGTGGTCTCAGATGTGATTAAAAACAAAAGCACTTGCTGTCAAGTCGACTCTGATTTAGAACTGTGCCCCATAGGGTTTTCAATGGCTGATTTTTCAAAAGTAAATCACTAGGCCTTTCTTCCACTACAGATTAAATCATTTTTCAGTGTGAGTACAGTGATAAACAGTATCTCACTGAGTGTGACACGCAGCATATAGTATACATGTCACCTTACCCCTAACACATTAAATTTCTACTGCAATTATAGTAGCGTATCAGGGTATAGTTGTAATTGTAAATACTTCAGAGAGTACATTCCATTGCTTGATTTGCTAATGGAATGGGTGCTCAGGTGACATTGATTTTTGATCCAAATTAATGCTCAGGTTGTTTTTTAATACATGAGTATTCCTTTATAAAATGTTGATTTTATTAACTAATATGCTCTCTCTTTGAACTTATTAGTGCCCAGTCGTATAGATAAAATCCAATCAGTAGCATAGAAAATAGTACTACTGAGGTCATGGTTATAAATTTGTCACCATACATGTCAGTTAACTTTACATAGAAAAATGGTGTATTCAGTAGCCAAAGACTGTAACCCTAACCCCACTCTGTTATTGGAGAGAGTGAGCTGGGAAGAATGGAGGAAATTTATCATGATTGTGAACATACTTTTGCATGCAGAGGATGTAGCTAAAAAGTTGCATGTGAATCAAACCTGACTTACAATGCCCAACTTTTTCTATACTGCAATTGTCCTTGTATATATTGAGTATCTACAAGCTTAACACTAGGCCTGGTGCTTTGTGGAGAACAAAAAGAGCCCAAACTCATTCATACAGGGAGTCAAACAATCATTCTGTATAAGCTTTGCATGAGCAATTTTTAAAAATCCAGCCTATTATTAGAATATGGTGGTCTTTTTGCCTCAGAAGTCCTGGATTTGATAAATGTTTCTTTCTTTTAACCCACACAATTCCCATTTCTTTGGTAGTTTTCACTGATTCCATGGAAGAATAGTCATTGGTTATACCATTGCTTTGGCAATTTGGCAAAATGCCCTAGCAGGAAGAACAGGATCTAAAAATAAGACTCATTTTCACTAGATAGATAAAATAATTGCTGCCCTTAATGTGTGACAGGCTCGCATTTGAAAAAATGCTTTGATCCAGTGAGTGACTCATAAGAGACATCCACATAGGTACTTTCCAATAGTCAAAAAACCTGCCCAGTACCATCTGACTCTGTATTTGAAAGGGAAAGGGGAAAACTGTTCCTAGCTTGATGAAGACTCTGAATACTAGCACTGAGAATCTTCTTTCCCATATTTTGCATTCTAAAGCACTTGCCTCCATAAGGAAGCTTTGGGGAATACCAACTATTCTCTTACCCAGTGCTGTCCAATAGAAATAGAATGTGAACCACATGTGTAATTTTAAATTTTCTAGTAGCCACATTGAAAAAGTAAAAAGACACAGGTGAAATTACTTTTAGCAACACTTTATTTAGTCTGATATATCCAAAATATTATTTCAACATGAAATCAATATAATCAATAGAAAAATATTAATGAGATATTTTACATTCTTTTCTTATTAAGTCTTTGAAATCCAGTGTGTATTTTACACACAGAGCACATCTCAGTTCAGACTAACCACATTTCAAGTGCTCAGTAGCCACATGTGGCTAGTGGCTACCATATTGGACAGTGCAGTTCTAACTAATTCCAGAAGGGTGAGACTCCCTGGCTGAGATGTGAATGGGAGAAAACTTGAAGTTTCTTCTACAAGTTTCATTTATTTTTCTGGTTTTCTTGAATACAGTGAAAACTGTAACCTGACTTTTAGCATGCCCCAGGCCATCCCCTTGCGTGAGTTCAATCACTTTATCTTCCTTCTCAAAATTAAAACATTGGATCTCGAGCAAAGTATAGATTAGATCCCTTAGCTTTTTTTCCTTAGATCATAGCTAACCCAAAAATGTACCTTTCATTTGCTTTAACATTCACTAACCCTTTTCCCCAGGTATCTTTCAGGTATATTGATAGTCTCAGAGCAGCTGCTAGTTCTGCCTCTGCACATTACATTCTACAGAAACTCACTGCCTCACTTATTAACTAACTCTCCCCCTTGAATCCTTTTCTAAAAAGATCTAGCCAGGGCTTCTAACTGGTCACACCCTTAAATGATCACAAATCACTGACTTGAAGGTGACTAATAGTAAGAAAAATTCAGACCTTAGCATGAGTTCAATTTCAAAAGGTTCTCCAAGTACCCCCTGCTGTTGAAGAGGAAAAGAGAAAAACATTCCCTCAGAAGCCGAATTAATACACTGTGCAAGCATCCACTCCTACCTAATTCACTCTACGCATATTTTCCCACTGTGGAACAGAAGCTTTACCAACATATATCTTTCTCCAATAACCCATAAATGAAGATGGTGATGTGACTGTGGGCCGAGCTTAAGATTTTATGAAATATAAAGGGAGAATTTTCTATAAAACATAGGCTTTGCAGTCAAGGAGACATAGGTTCAAATCCCAACTCTGACACTTAACAGTTGTGTATCTTCGGGAAAGTAATACAACCTCTCTGAGCCTTAGTTTCCTCATTTGTGAAATGAGAAAATCTACCTCAAGGCACTGTAAAGATTAAACAAGATATGTAAGTAGAGCTTGTAGCATATAGTAGGCACTCAGGGAATGTTATTTCCTTTACACTCTTACCATTTAAACATGTTTAAATAGCACTCTAAATTGTTAAATATGTATTAACCTTTTGTATCAAATATCTTGATGGTAAAAAAATATTGACAGCTGGCATTGAATATTCAAATTCACAAAGGAACCCCTTTACAAACTAAAGGGTTTAAGATAACATCTGTATATTTAATCTGTGCTATGTGATAAAATAGCTTTTTGTCAAACAGCTTTTTTATAAATTTTTTTAAGGATAAATTCAGAAGCCACTTTTAAGAACATTAGCTTAGAACATGTTCCCCTTTCACAGCACATCAGACATTATTGGGGCCAAAACTGCCCAGATTAGTATGTTTTCTATCTCTCTACACTTTAATCGAGAGTTTCTCCTTATATCTGCAAAAACCACTGCTTAAGTGAGACTCCTGCATCAGCAGTAAATGCATCTGGGCATTTGGTACTTGAGAGAGTACTGGATTTGACAACTCCCAGAAGCTAATGAGGCCACATGCTTTCTTTCAAACCTCTGCATTCAGGAGCAAGCAAGAATTACTTTATGAACTCTTTTGCAGATATTTTACAAATGACAGTAAAACCTGTCATAGCCGGAATTCGACGGGACTGCCTTGTTTTTCCGGGTCTCACAAGTTTTCCACCTTTGACAGGGTGCAGTCTTATCTCTTTTCTATTGATTATTCTAGTGGAAAATATTTGCGTTTTCCTTCTCTTACAGATTCCGGCTTTCGCAGGTTTTACTGTATAAATGTTTTACCTTGGAAACACCAAATAAGTGCAATATAAATATCCAAGATTTTAATACATTTTGTTGTTGTTGTTAGGTGCCAGCAAATCGGTTCCGACTCATAGCAACCCTATATACAACAGAATGAAACACTGCCCAGTCCTGTGCCATCCTCACAATTGTTGCTATGTTTGGGCCCATTGTTGCAGCCACTGTGTCAATCCATCTCATAGAGGGTCTTCCTCTTTTTCACTGTCCCCTCTACCATACCAAGCATGATGTCCATCTTCAGGGACTGATCCCTCCTGATAACATGTCCAAAGTACTTGAGACGAAGTCTTGCCATCCTCACTTCCAATGAGCACTCTGGCTGTACTTCTTCCAAGAAATACTTATCCATTCTTCCAGCAGTTCATGGTATATTCAATATTCTTCGCCAACACAATTCAAAGGCATCAGTTCTTCTTTAAGTGTTCCTTATTCATTGTCCAGCTTTCACATGCATATGAGGTGATTGAAAACACCATGGCTTGGGTCAGGCGAATCTTAGTCTTCAAGGTGACATCTTTGCTTTTCAACACTTTAAAGAGGTCTTTTGCAGCAGATTTGCCCAATGCAATATGTCATTTGCTTTCTTGACTGCTGCTTCCATGGGTCTTGGTTGTGGATCCAAGTAAAATAAAATCCTTGACAACTTCAATCTTTTCTCTGTTTATCATGATGTTGCTTATTGGTCCAGTTTTGAGGATATTTGTTTTATGTTGAGCTGTAATTCATACTGAAAGCTGTAATCTTTGATCTTCATCGGTAGGTGCTTAAAGTCTTCTTCACTTTTAGTAAGCAAGGTTGTGTCATCTGCATATCGCAGGTTGTTAATGAGTCTTCCTCCAATCCTGATACCTTGTTCTTCGTATAGTCCAGCTTCTGCAATTGTTTGCTCAGCATGCAGATTGAAAGAGTATGGTGAAAGGATACAACCCTGATGCATACCTTTCCTGATTTTAAACCACGCAGTATCCCCTTGTTCTGTTCAAACGACTGCTCTTGATCTATGTACAGGTTCCTCAAGAGCACAATTTAGTGTTCTGGAATTCCCATTCTTTGCAATGTTAACCATAATTTGTTATGATCCACACAGTCGAATGCCTTTGCATAGTCAGTGAAACACAGGTAAACATCTTTCTGGTATTCTCTGCTTTCAACCAAGATCCATCTGACATCAGCAACAATATCCCTCATTCCACGTCCTCTTCTGAATCCAGCTTGAACTTCTGGCAGTTCCCTGTCAATGTACTGCTGCAACCGCTTTTGAATTACCTTCAGCAAAATTTTACTTGTGTGTGATATTAATGATATTGTTCAATAATTTCCACATTCTGTTGGATCACCTTTGGAATGGGCACAAATATGGATCTCCTCCAGTTGGTTGGCCAGGAAGTTGTCTTCCAAATTTCTTGACATAAATGAATGAGTACCTTCAGTGCTGCATCTGTTGAAACATCTCAGTTGGTATTCTGTCAATTCTTGGAGCCTTGTTTTTCACCATTCCCTTCAGTGCAGCTTGGACTTCTTCCTTCAGTACCATTGGTTCTTGATCATATGCTGCCTCCTGAAATGGCTGAACATTGACCAATTCTGTTTGGTACAGTGATTCTGTGTATTCCTTCCATCTTCTTTTGATGCTTCCTGTGTCATTCAATATTTTCCCCGTAGAATCCTCAAATATCGCAGCTCGAGGCTTGAATTTTTTCCTCAGTTCCTTCAGCTGGAGAAATGCCAAGCGTGTTCCCTTTTGGTTTTCTAACTCCAGGTCTTTGCACATGTCATTATAATACTTTACTTTGTCTTCCTGGGCCACCCTTTGAAATCTTCTGTTCAGTTCTCATTTCTTCCATTTGCTTTAGCTGCTCGTTCAAGAGCAAGTTTCAGAATCTTTTCTGACATCCATTTTGGTCTTTTCTTTCTTTCCTGTCTTTTTAATGACCTTTTGCTTTCTTCATGTATAATGTCCTTGATGTCATACCACAACTCATCTGGTCTTCGGTCATTAGTGTTCAATGCGTCAAATCTGTTCTTGAAATGGTCTCTAAATTCAGGTGGGATATACTCAAGGTCATATTTTGGCTCTTGTGGACTTGCTCTAATTTTCTTCAGCTTCAACTTGGACTTAAATAGGAGCAATTGCTGGTCTGTTCCACAGTTGGCCCCTGGCCTTATTCTAACTGATGATATTGAGCTTCTCCATCGTCTCTTTCCACAGATGTAGTCAATATGATTCCTGTGTTTTCCATCTGGTGAGGTCCACGTGTATAGTCACCATTTATGTTGTTGAAAAGAGGTATTTGCAGTGAATAAGTCATTGGTCTTGCAAAATTCTATCATGCGCTCTCTGGCATTGTTTCTGTCACCAAGGCCATATTTTCCAGCTACTGTTCCTTCGTTTAAAACTTTTGCATTCCAATCACCAGTAATTATGCATCTTGATTGCATGTTTGATCAATTTCAGACTGCAGAAGTTGGTAAAAATCTTCAATTTCCTCATCTTTGGCATTAGTGGTTGGTACATAAATTTGAATAACAGTCGTATTAACTGGTCTTCCTTGGAGTCGTATGGATATTTTCCTATCACTGGCAGCACTGTACTTCAGGGTGGATTGTGAAATGTTCTTGTTGACAATGAATGTGATGTGATTCCTCTTCAGCTTGTCATTCCAGGCATAGGAGGTCATATGATTGTCTGATTCAGAATGGCCAACACATTTTAGCCCCTATCATTTTAAAAACAGAATAAAGCAATGCCAGTGAAAAACATTTTCCAATCATGTCCTTTTTAAAAGCTATTTAGGAGATATTTGGTGGGTTAGAGGTTGCTATTATCCCACTAAATGAGGCTGTTTCTAATCTATATTCATATATATTTCAAGTTGAACTTACTTAAATCTAACATGCTTACGTAAGCAAGCCTTAGAAGGAACCTAATCATACAAAAGCATACTTTTCCTAATCCTGGCAACTCTTAAGAAAGCTGTCGTGCGCCTACAGGGCAAAAACGACACTTCTCCCCTCCTCACCCTGCCCAGCCTAGTCTGGACGTTTAAGTAAAGAGAGAACTTTGTCCTTAAAAAATGAATTTTGAATGGAGCAGCATTAGAACTGATGAAAAGAGTTTTCAGGGTCAGAGTGCATATGAAATCTTGCAGATCAGGAGAAACTGAATTTTTGTTAAACATCAGTCCAGAAACAGGCATTTCAATCCCCACTGATAGGGAAGCAAAGGTAGAAGAAAATGCTGCTTTTAAAAGTTTTCTCAAATTTGAGGATACTCAAGGACTATTAACAGACAGTGTCAGTCTAACATGCAGTTTTATTATGAAATCATCTTACTGGTTCACAAGTTTCCCAGCCTCAGGGCGTCATAAGCATTATAGGACAACTCCAGAATTTGAGAAGACAGGAAGTGTCCTCTTTGAAACAGAAGTTGGTAAGAATAAAAATGAATTGTCCACCCCCAATATGGCTTTTCCTGAGGCAAAAAGGGAATGGAATTTGATTTGTTTTTCAAGGCATAGGTTTGGAGAAATGGCGCTTTCTCTAAGCAAATGCTAAGTTAGAACAAATGATTTATTGCTTAAAATCCAGTCTTTTGCTCACATGCTTGTGAAAACCAGAATAAATTACGTACTTCACCACAGAGTTTAAGGGAAAGTTAATAGTTATCATTGACAATCAAGTCTTGTGATAAATAATTAAAATTAGAAAGAATGAAAAATTAAATCTTTGTATCTTTTAAATCTAGGGTTTTTTGGGGGGGCGTTGGTTATGGTAGAGTTCTGGGAACACTTAACATGAACTTGAAGGGAGTGAAGTAATCAATTATACCTGGAAGTCCCCTATATTCACATACTGGCTGAAATAAAGTATTTTAAAATTGGGGAATGAAACAAGAAGAATAAAAATTATGATGGGGAAATTAATTATGGCTTATTTTAAAATGGGATTTTAAAAATGTATAGGTGGTTTGATGGATTTTTTTACTTTATTTTTGCCTAAAAGATAAAACTAGTTTGTTGTTGTTGTTGTTGTTAGGTGCCGTTGAGTCGGTTCCGACTCATAGCGACCCTGTAGGACAGAATAGAACTGCCCCATAAGATTTCCAAGGAGTGGCTGGTGGATTCACACTGCCAACCTTTTGGTTAGCAGCAGAGCTCCTAACCACTACACCACCAGGGCTCCAAGACCAGTTAAGTATGTGTTAATATTGGATGTCTGCTATATTTTGGACATCACAGACTACTGAATTACAGTATTCCATATAAGACTGATGTCTGTGGCTCAATTTTTCATCACTGTTTCTGACGTTTATACACCTTTTCCTTTCTCTAATCCAAGTCGTCTTAGTCATTTGGAACATCAGTTTTCATTTGTTATACTATCCATGTTTGCTATATTTCACAAACACATTAATTTCTAAGACAATCCATTTAATTAGAATTGGATATAGTGAGGCATGTCATTTTCTATAACACATATATTTTAAATAAAAGTTGTTTTACTAATTGATATTTTATTTCTCAAGAGTGGTCAAGGATGAAATTTGGTGTTCTTTAATTTTCACACCAAGAGGCAAAAATTAATTGTACTAATCAGTTTGGATGTTTTTGTTTCCTTCCCCATGACCTATTCTTAATGAATATGGTATTAGGAGAAATTTCAGTGAATCATCTCCCACATCTCTTTCCATGCACAAATCATATTCTCTAAATGGCTATCCTCTTAAACAAACAAAACTGCCTAATAGTCTCAACATTGATTTAAAAGTTGGTCCTCAATTTTGTTTATTCTTTCCTGATCTGATGGAGCTGTGGTCCTTTACTAGTACTTAATTGGTTTTAATATAAAATTAAACAAATTATTGTTATTTATAGTTGGTAATTTCTACTCATTCTTTTACCTGTCACCTGTAAAAATTAAAAGAGAGTGTACATTTATACGCATCAGTCTCCAGGTTGACAGGTACGATTTCTTTAGGAACTACTACTGAGAGACTGATAAAAGAGTACAATTAGATTTAGTCTAATCTTCACTGCCTTAATAAAAGTTTTTTGAAAAACTTTTAAGATATATTTTAAATGGCCCAATTCTTATAGGTACTTGAATATGTTTGTGATCTCAGAAATTATGGTTATATAGGCATAGGATGCATACATTTTCATTTTTTTCTCTCATTATAAATCAGTTTTAGTGGATACTCATTTAGAAATTGGAATTATTTTGAGTTTCCTGAAGAGCCTTGAAAGATACATTCTCAAACATTAAGGAACCTAAGTAAAGAAAGTTAAAATATTTACCCCATTTTGTTTGGGTATAAATTCATTTAATATTTCTATTAATATATAATTGCTATATCATTAATATTCTCACAGCAAAAAACTGAAATATTTATTGTAATGAAATACCTCTGTAAATTTAGTGAATCTTCATTCTTATGTCTTCTTCTGAAGTACTATGCTTAGAAATAATGTATCCTCAGGTGTTGCTGATTTGTATACAGAGGGGGAACTTGGCTAGATATAATCATTATTTGACAAATGCCATATGATCTTCTGTTTGGGGAATATCAAATCCTTCAAATTGGAAGTGGTCATGAGTACCCATAGGATAAATCCAGCTGATTTTTTTTGGAGTCCAGAACATTAAAAAAAAAATGCAGTTGCCAACAGACCACCACCAAACCACTATATTCAGTTGGCTAGAAGAGGACTGACCAGGCCTTAATACTATAGGACAAATGGAGAACCATCTAAGTTGAAAACGTGAATCATTGCAACTCCAACACATCTGGATTTTTTTTTTTAAAACCTTCTCACATTGGATACAATCTAAGGAATATTTTTATATTTGGATCATGTGTAATTTGCAAATTTTGATGAACAAAATTGGAGAAGTATTAGGAAATTCCTACTGACTTTGTAAATGGTATTGAAATGTCACCATTACCCAGATTTAAGTTTTCTTTACTCACTAGACTGGAAGCTCCTTAAGGGCAAGGGCTACTTGTGTATTATTCATCTTTGTGCCACATCACCTAGAACCTAACAGACACTCAATAAATATCCATTAAGCTGAACTGACCTTGGCTGAGTAATACTGAATCAGATAAACAGGAATGGCTGGACTGTAGATTGGTTCTTGACACAAAATTAATTTTGAAACTAAAAATGAACTGGAGACACATTGCCAAAGAGAAAACAAGCTCTCCCTTGTTCCTACTCTCAGGAATGTGGGTAAACTAAAAGTTTCCTTCAAGCATGGTGCCTAAAGAGGCTGATTTATCTGCTAGTTTAACCTCTCTGAACTGACGTCATACAAGATTTAATGTATAGAAACTAACAAGGAAAGCATATGTAGAGTGACATCCCTGATTAACACCAATGAACTGAGACCTCAGACCCAGGAGAAGCAGGGAACATACATATTTAGTCCATATCACCAGGGCAACACAGTCAATGTACCTCAGCATAGTAGAAAAACAAACACAGATGTTGATGTTGAATATACTGAATACAGTACAGGCGTTACCTATACTGTAATAGTGGTTAGATACAAGGATAAATTATTTCAGAAACCAGGCTATTAGAGATTTTAACTTCTCTAATTGTGTGTGTGTGTGTGTGTGTGTGCGTGTGTGCATGTGTGCGCGCGCGAGTGAGAGTGTATGTGCGCGCGCTTTTGCTAATACTCCATAGGCAATCTTGGTCAATTAACATTACCTTAGCATCAAAGATAAAGGTTCAGTTTGGTTGACATAAATAACTTGCAAATTCTCTTTTCAAGAATATAAGGAGCTATAAGCCTCAAATAGGGTGCCTTCTTCCCCAAGTGGGAGGAGCATCTGAATTTGAAGCGATTAAGTCAGCATAAAATGAGACTACCTGTTAAAAGAAACCTACCCAGAGAGATGATTTATAAATGTTTTACTGATGAGATTATTTACCCTTTTATCCACCAGGAATATATAATAAAACATAACAATAGTCAGTTATAGAATATAACTCACAACAAAAGGAAAATATTCTACATGGAACTTGAAAAGGAAGTAAGACATCAGTGTGCCTCTACTGGTCAGGAAAGACCAGATTTTGGCAGACATAAGAATTCTAATTAATGATGAAACAAGAAAAATTCTCCAAGCCTTACCCTAGCCCAAAAGAAATAGTCCGCCCAAATTATAAACCTTCCTTTGCTGTGATCCATGTTCACCAAGAAGCTTCCTGTTTACTAATTGTTTACCCTAGGTAAATCTACCTCTATAAATTAATACATTTACATTCTAACTTGGAAACTGCCAAGTCTTACAAGTTGTGTTAGTGGGAAGTGGTTTCTCAATCTGAGGATATGTAACCTGGATATGTAACCTTCACCTATATTATATACTGGGAGGCCCAGCTGGAACAGCCAGACAAATGGTCTCTTTCCTTTTTTAAAATCCACCCTCACCTTTCTCACCAACTTCTAACTGTAACACAGGTCACCACAATCTTGTAAATGTCTGTATCCATCTGAAAAATAAAATCACATGCCATATATTTGTAACCAACCAAATGAAGATGGCTGAGGCACTAGAGTAACATCAAGGTTATTACGAAGAAAGGCTTTTATCACTAAATAATTTCACATCTGCTTTTTCAATTCCCCAAACAGCTTACTAGTCTTATTAAAGTTTAAGTCTGTGACCCTCATCCTCCACTTAAAAGAGATACACATTCTTCAGGGGATGCAGTGGAGCCCCAAATCTGGAGGTTCTGGACATCTGTGTGGTCTGATTTTACCCAGCTTCAAGAGAGGGCACTAAAAAAATTGAACCTGAATTCGATCATACCTACCAGTTTACAGGATATATAGGGGGCATAGAAACAAATGACTTCACAGTGATGCAATCAACAAAATCCAGAATATGTGGGGAAATTCTACAAGACAACAGATTTCTTAAATAATTAATTTTAAGGGGGGGGAGAGAAAGGGAGAACTTATGGATTAAAAGATTTAAAATTAGTAACAACCAAATGCAATGTGTGGACCTTGTATAGTACCTATTCAAGCAAATCAATGGTTAAAAAAAGATAAAAAGAGAATGAAGGGAATTTCAACACTGAGCAGATTATTTGATATTAAGAAATTGCTAAGCTTTTTTAGGTGTTATAATAGTATTTTGGTTATGTTCTGTTTAAAAAAAAGACCACCTATATTTTAAAGATACATATTAGTTACAGATGAAATAATATGTCTAGGATTTGCTTCAAAATAATTAGAGGGTAGGGTATAGATGAAATAAGATTGGCTATAAATTGAACCTGGGTAATGGATACAGAAGGGTCCATTATACTATTCCCTATACTTTCGTGTATTTCCCGTAGTGAAAAGTTAAAAAAACAAAACAAAAGAGAAGGAGCACTGCTGGGTGCCCTGGGGTAATGGGATAAAATTCCCAGTCTAGCTTCAAGCCCCATTAACTAGTCAGATTCTCTAGGGGTCACCCATAAACTGGCAATTACAATTATCAAGTCCAACCCTTAATCTTGCATCATTAGCCTAAGAAAGGATGTTAAGTTGTCTGAGTTTGGTTACTTACCAGGTACCTTTTTCTCTCCAAGTTTGCTACCCAATTTTAACTTGAGTTTTAAGAAAAACTAAAATAATTTTTGAAGCTAACAGCATTTTAGTATCTGTTGAATTTATTCAGCATAACCAGAGACATTGTCTTCATGCCGTCATACAAGACACAAACACAGAAGTACAGCACAATATCCATGTTTAGCCCAAGTGCATTCCTTCTGAGGCTCATTTATATGTTTTCATATGCCACAGCCCATCATTTAAATAATGGATATTTTCAATGCCAATTCCTTTGTTGACCTTCTCACTGTGAAAGGAAAAGAAAACAAGTAACAATATTTTATGCATTTATATACGCTTACTCATGATAAAGTGCATTGCTATTTTGCAATTATTAAGTCATATATAGGGAATTTATATTGTTATTATTAGGTACCATCGAGTTGGTTCCGACTCATAGCGACCTTATAGGGCAGAATAGAACTGCCCCATAGGGTTTCCAAGGAGCGGCTGGTGGATTCGAACTGCCGACCTTTTGGTTAGCAGCCAAGCTCTTAACCACTGTGCCACCAGGGCTCTTTATTTATATTACATTTACATTATTATCTATATAAAACTACATTACTCCACTGCAGTTCATGTCTTAAAGTGATTCCAGTGATCTAACTAGTGATTCTATAGAAGCAGAGTAATGGATGCCTCCATACCAGGAGAATATCAAAGTGTTACATTAACCTGAAACAAAATTAATAGAAATAATTTAGTCATCATATGGGTTCCAACGTTTTTAAATATACTGCCTGTATTTTGGTACTATATCTTTAACATTTCCCTAATATGCTATCTTTCCTATACCTCCAGGTCAGTATACAAAAGATAAATACCGTGTGGTGCTGAACTATATCACTGTTTTAGAAACTAGCAGAAAAACATCTTCCCCCTCCTCCCCAATATAAGTCTTACTAAATGAAAATGTCTGAAAGTATCACATACATGCATATAAAACAGCTAGCTATGTTTGGACTTGGATACTTTTCAGAATGCTTAAGAAAGAATGCAATCCTTAAAATAGGTTTCAATGGCTTTCCTAAGTGTTAGGAAAAATCAGAAATGAAACTTCTGTTCTTAGATACTTTTAAGATGTGATATGAACGAGAGCAAATTTCACCTGTAATTCTGATGCTTCCTGGGTAGGTTAGCTGAAAAGCTAAGAGGGTCTAAAGTGAGACTTACATATCTTCTGCAGACATCTTCATGACTCCAACACACAGAGCATGCTGTTTTCCTTCTGCCATTATTGCCTGGAAACACAGCTAAGAAAACTATCAAAATGCCTTTATTTGGGGGACGGTGGGGTCAAGTAATGATCATGTTGCTTGTTAACCCACTTTGAACCCATCTTGTGTCATCTCCTAGATTGTTAACTCTTTGAGGGCAGGGGCCTAGCACACTCTCAGGGCACATTGTAAGTGCTCAAAAAATGATAAATGAATGTGTCTAATAATCATTGTTGGTTTTCAAGTCAGATGTAAAGACTGTAACTCAAACACTAACAAAACCAGAATAGGTCATTCAAAAAAGGAGATAAAATTTCTTGCACATAAACATTAAAAACTGTGAAATATCAATTGTTCTAGTGTTTTAATCACTGAATGGTGGTTTTACGTAAATCACTGAATGGTGCACATTCTATTGCCACCGTATCTTTAAGAGCCTGATGTAACAGTTTCAACCTTTTGAGAGCAATAAGAATGTTCTTGGTTATCATTTGAAGCTTCTGGAAAGTTAAACACTGCAGTACATATTTTAAAAAGTAAAGGTTCAAGGGTACATGGGACCTCTCTGTACTTTTTTACAGCTTTCTATACATCTATAATTATTGCAAAATAAAAAATATTTTTAAACAGTAAAGGCTATGCGGTACTAGAAAATTTTTCCATTTAAGGAAACTCAAGATCTATGAACTTACCAACACTTGTAGAAATTATAAATATAAAAAGGTAACCTGTCCTCACAGAATACTTTTTTCCTCCATTGGTTTTAATTCATTCATTCATTCATTCAGTGTTCCACAAATATTTGATCACTTATTATGTAACCAGTATCTGTTGTCAGTACAAGCTTTTCCTAAGATATGAATATACAACTTTTACTACCTATTAGATATAACTGCCACAACAGAGGATACTGTCCTTTTGAGCAAAGAACACATTCTCAAACCCACTCCAATGGCCTTCCCACTCCAGTTATTTCTCCATTTCCATCAAGTACAATTCCTTTTTCTGAGACAAATGGCAACTTTAGCTGTGACAGAGATGTCCTCCTGTCCAGAATAGTTCACAAAAACATATTTAATCCAGCATATAGCCAAACAGCACCGTAGACAATGGAGACAATGCTTAAGAATTATTCAGCTATGAGATGAATAGATCCTTTAAGGACTACCTGGCACGCTAACATTTCTCTTTGAGAAAACATGTTCCAAGGCCCAAAGAACAACTTAAAAATGAACTTTTAAAATAAAAGTTGGGGACTGCCAATATTTCCCTATCTACCCACTTCTAACACAAAATTTTTGTTTGGGAAAGGAGATATTATACCTGGTGCCTAAGTTCTTTTCCCTTTTGAGTGCTTTCACTCCAGTGTATCTGGGTAAGTTGAACATGAAAGTGGCAAGCTGATGTCCAAAGAAGTGATCCAATCGTATCATATATATCCTCTCCATTAGTAATTAAGAGTTTGTACTGTATACTTAATCTGATAACACAGGGCCCTAACTGGATTGAAATGCAGCTGTGATGCTTTTCTAACTTGTTCTCACTTAACTTCTAAGAAATTACCTAGGATGGGATACAATTTAGTCTCAAGAATAAAAAAGAAGTTACTTCCCATTTCTTCATATGTAACCAAAAAGGCATGAGAAAATAGTAACAGTAACCCTGTGCACACATGGGGTTGCCCTGAGTCACAATCGACTAGACAGCAACTAACAAGAACAGTCTCCGAAAAAGTGTATCTAAGAGCTTTCGGAAATGGCATGAACACAATGTATATGTTTTTCTGTAAGGACACAATGCCTTTTCCTGGGAAGGATACAACGATCGTATCTACCGCAGCAGGGTAAAGCTTAGCTCCAGGAGAAGTTAAGCCTGGACACATGATATTTGCTCCACTGAGTACAAATTTGATGGCTCCTTTATCAACCTGCTGGTGTGGCAGGATAAAAGGATCTAGAAGAAAAGAAATACATTGTATAAATTAATATGACTAAGGATGCAAAAAGGCAAAGGATATGAACAAATATTTCCTGAAATTACAGTACTCTGACAGATGCAAAATAAAACTGAGATACCATCCCTCACCTATCAAATTGGTAAATATTTTTAAGAAAAGTAATTCCCAGTGCTAAGGAGTGAAGGAAAACTGGCATTCCCATGTACTGCTGGAAGGCTTGTAAACGGACATCTTTCTGTAGGAATATTTGGCAACATGTATCAACAGCCTTAAAAAGATTCAAACTCTTTGACTCAATAATTCTACTTCTAGAACTTTATCTTAAGGAGGAAAAAAGATATAAAGATGTTCATTGCAGCATTATTTATAATAGAAATAAACTGGAATCAACCTAAATGTCCAACAATAAGGTAAGAGATAAATGACTTAAGGTATGTCTGTAATATCTATAAAATAGAACTATGTTTTTGGAGAATACTTTATGCCACGGGAAATGTTCATAATGGAGAACCCAATTTAAAAAGGAAAACAATATGCATTTGCGTACATACACACACACACAGAGGAAATAATCAGATGAAAGTATACCAATATACTAACAATGGTTATCTCTAGATCATAGGAATACAGGTAATTATTAATTTGTTATATATTTCTGTATTTTCCAAATTTCTATAATGAACACATATTTCCTTTTATAATCTTTAAAATATTTTATTTGTGTCTACACATAATTAATAACCTAAAGATTAAAAGATCCCTTCAGGATTTCAAACAATTACTAGAAAAAATATTTTAAGCCTCTCAGGGCTGTCTACGAATAATAATGACAACAATAGGTAAACTTTATTCCCTTTAATGCCTTACCACTAAGCCTCCCACTTGTCACAGAACAGGTTTTTGTGGTTTTTTTTTCTACCAAGAGCACAAATTAATTTAAAATGACCCCAAATTAAACATCTTACTGATAAAAAGGAGCCTGAATGAATGAATGCATTTGCTACTCACAAGCCATAATCTGTTTTCTAGATCTTTACACTCATTAATATTGCCCCCTTAATAATAATCATAATAATAATAAGTAGCAGTAGTAGTGAACATTTATTGAGCAATTACTACAACATTATAATGGCTACATTTATTGAACAATTACTACATCACTATAATGGCTATTGTATATTGAGCACTTACTATGTTCCAGGCATTGTTTAGGTGCTTTACATGCACTATCTCATTTAATCCTCACAACCCTGGAAGATATATACAATTATCATCTCCATTTTAAAGATAAGGAAACAAGGCTTAAAGAGGTTAAGTGACTTGTCAAAAGTGACGTAATTAGTAAGTAGCAGAGCTGGGAATTGAACCCAGGTGTGCCTAACTCAAAGTTCACACTTTTAACCACCATATTATCTTGCTGCTTTTACAAGAATAACTTTTAAGATTTCTAAAAGGTTGGTCCCCAGCAAAATATTATTAAATAGGAACATCTTTTCCCCCACAACTTATTATGAAAATGTTCAACATACAGAAACTTTGGAAGAATAGTACAGTGAATACTTGGACACCATCCACTTAGATTCAACAATTGTTCATTAACATTTTGTTATATTTACTTTATCGCTTTCTATTTATACACATACATTTTTTCCTCTAACATTTAAAAGTAAATTCTTACATAATACTTCAGTGTAAGTAAGCACACATCTCCTAAGAATAAAGACATTCTCCTACATAACTACAATACCATTGTCACATCTAAAAATTTAACAGTAGTTCTACAATATTATCTTATAGCCAAACCATATTCAAATTTCCCTCAATTGCTCCAAGAAAGTCTTTTATAGCTTGAATTTTTGCTTGTTTTTCAAACCAGGATCCAATCTAGGTTTACACAATAGATTGTTTCTTTGTTCTCTTTCACATGAATATGAATTAGCATCAGAAAAATATCTTAATATGACCAAAATATTTTCATTTAAAACCCATTGCATCAGGACTCAATTACTCTCCATCCCAATTTTTTTTAACCTGATGAAGTCAGTATTTAATCAAATAATTGTTATTTTTCCCTTATAAATATTAAAATGCTTCACCTCTTTTAAGACTTGCCCAACAGCTTTACTGCTCCTGATCTCTGTACCAACAGGTAATTTAAAAATTTATCTCTTATGAAAATGCCAAACTCATTAAGTCACCACCACCAACAGAGCCCTCCAGTCACTCCCTTCCCTTCTGCCTCTTGGTTAGAATGCCAGACTGAAAAGCAGAATTTTACTTCACACTTGAAAACTTCTTATGCACTGGGATTGTATCTTTCTTTGGATTTTCTTTTGTAATGTACTCAATCTAACAACATGCAAATATGAGTACATAATAAATGTTTGGTTTCATAACATCTGACCATAGCACTGACCTAATGATACCTGGGACTCCCATATTTAGCCAATGCTTTCCCCTATATAGAAATGTCTCTATTAGGCAAACTTAGATACAAATTTAAAAGGAGAAAATGCTAACAGCACTCATCAATTTGTGAGTGTATATTTGGGTAATTATCTAATTAATGTCTGTTCTCCCCAAATAGATTGTTAGCTTCATAAGGATAGGGATCATATCTGTATTTGCTTCTGATTTTATTCTAGGTAGCTAGCTCAGTGCCTGGCACATAGTAAGTTCAATAAATATTTGTTGAATGAATGTTCTTTCTTGGGCTTTCTGAAATGCAAAATAAGAGAATTGTAAAGAAATTTGCATTTTTTAGATTTACCACAAGATGAGGATTCATTTTAATTTTACATTCCATATTAAAAAAAACCAAACCCGTTGCTGTCAAGTAAATTCCAGCTCGATTCCGACTCATACCTAGTACTAACAACAAGTAACTATAAGAAACCACTTTCAACTCGTTTTGTGTCTTTCCATATCCCCAAATGTGTATTTTCTAACAAGACTTACATTTGTGAAGTAATCTTAGGGTTGGATAAAAAGGGCCTTCTCTCTGTCTAAAAAATAGTAACTCTCCATTTACTGTAAGGATTTCTATATGTTCATGGCTGTAAGACACATGTCACAAAGTAGCAAGTTAGATATTTTGTTTCAAAAATGAATATAAGTCAAACATCCTGTAAAATTTATAACATGAAATATGTATATACAGAGATACAGTAAGCTGGGTTTTTTTTCTTACTTTTGATAATGATCTAGGCCAAAAAACATTGTTTGTTTTTCCTATCATACCAGTCCAGTGGAGGAAAAAAAAAAGAAAAATATGACCCATTACAATCAATTTTATTTCACATTTTATTATTTTAATTCCACAGTTAGATAATTAAATAAAGCAAATCTCCACTGTACAAACTGAAATAAATTAAACCAAACTCTGAATAAAAACAATTTATTAAAAAAAAGAAAACAAACCAGTACACAATGCCACATTTTTCATGGACAAAGAAAAATACTTGAATATACAAATATTGATAAATTCTGCTTATTTATTCCCATCCTTAATCAATAGTTAATGTGAAAACAATCCTATTTGTTGTGAGTACAACTTAATCATTAAATATTCAGCTACTCAGAGCTTTACATAGAGAAAAGCGAAGACTTACCATCGTACTATTTTGACAGGATCTTTCTTAGGCATGATTTGATTAAGCCATGGTTCAATACCTGGAAATTGCTCTATCAATTGGTTCTTAATACCCTTAATAACTGAGGTTTTCAACTGGATGCAGTTGGACACATTTTCTTTTTCATCAAATCTGCAAGGAAAAAAAAAAGGCATTTCTAAGCAGACATAACAGAATAGCTAGCTACTCATCATCTCCCCAGCATGTATTTAGATACCTAAAATAATTATGAAATAATTTTTTAAAATAGCATTTCCCTTTTATTCTGCCAGCACAAAACCAATGTCTTAATACAATATTAAACTGTCATGTACACAGCAATTAGCTGGAGAGGAGGGTATGAGGCACATTTCCCATTATCTGTAATCAGCTACACAAATGCCTTTCCTGGAAAATCCTATCCAATTCTACCCAGGAAGAAACACAGACTCCTACTAATAATAAAACCTGTGTAAAAAACAAAACCAAAAAAGAAAAAACCCTCAAGTGTTGAGATACAGAAGACTAACCCAAACATAACACAAAAAATTGGCCCCAGCTAGGCTATGTAATTTGAGATTTTTTTTAAAAAAAATGATGATGATGATGATGATTCCTAAGATACCTATTTATTTTTGCTCAAAGTTTCATGTAAAAAACCCACCTTCCTTTGCCCATGTTCCCCCCTTGCTTTCTGCGTCTACCAAATCTGGAAGGCAAACCCACTAGGTAGGTTCCCAAGGAATTTTTGTCTCCCTTACACTGAACAGCCTATGGGGCAATCACGATATTTTCAAGACAAGGTAACCTGGCAGCTAGGCAATAGGCATGACAGGCCGCTTGCTTCCTGTCACCCAGACTCCTCCAGTCCCATGACCCAGGAAGTCAAGCCTTCCCCTATTCAGCTCATAACTAATAACATATGGCAGTGAGTGCAGAGCTCCCCTCTCAGTTAAAGAGGCTATGCCCCTAAAGCACAGTGCAAGGATGTGATTGGTAGAACCCTAGAAATGGAGATAGGATTGGGGAAGGGGGCAAAGAACAGAAGGGTAGGCAGAAAGAAAATGGGGGTTGGCGAGAGGAGAGCGAAACCCGATTGAGAATTAGGGATCGAAAGCTGAAAGGAGTGTAGCAAGTTGCGAGTCAGAGCATAGTACTATAGAAAACCTTAGGGAGTCAGGATGGCAGGGGAGGGGGAGCGAGAAAGAGGATTGTAGCTCTCACCCTCTTCCCCACCCACCCCCACCGCCTTTGTGAGCAGCCGATGGAGACCACAGCATGTCCTTACTTCTTGAACATGATCCAAGGTGAAGGGGGCGACGATAGGGAAGGGCCCGGATTGGGAAAGAAATTGAATTAAGAAGTGTCCGGCAGATACCCTTACACGAGGAAGGCCGGCACTGACAGTCCGAGCTGTTGTCGCTAGCCGGAAAATGAAAGAGCCAGTCGCGCCTTACGGCTTAGTGAAATCTGACTACTTCCGCTCCTCTGAACTCCACGTCGGCGCTTTTGCCGGTTCTTTTTGGGTTACGATTACCGTCCTGAGGGAGTAGTTAAAAGGGCGGGACTTGAGAAGGAAGATGAGACAGAGCAATTCTTTCCAGTTGCTGGAAGAATAGAAGGGGCGGAGAATCAATCATGGCAGCGGTTGTGACAATTGTACGGGTTCCTCACAGGGTCAAGATTCTTCCGTGTTTCGTAGCTATTTATAATTAATCTAAACAATTTAGCGGGAATGGGTTTTATTCCTGTCTGCAGCAACCGAATGAATTGGTGCTTACCGACCAGCACGAACCCAGGCAAGCCAGAGGGCTTCATGTTACTGCCCAGCTAAATTTGAATTTCATGTAAACAATGAATGATTGTTTTAGTATAAGTGTGCCCCATGCAATATTCGGGACGTACTTATACTAAAAAATTATTGTTTATCTGAATTCAACTGGGCATCCTGTATTTTTATCTGGCAACTGTATCCACTGACCACAGTGAGGTGCCCACATAGAATTATTAAATAAAAATAACTAAGTTGCCGTTCCCCGCCTTACCCCCATACCTACAAGTTGAACTATAAATTCAGAAAGGTAATGTCCTTGAAAGATAGAATTGCCCCTCCGCGAGCAATAATGAGCAGTAAATCTCACTGAAGAAATAACAGCTAAAGAAATCCGTTTTGCCTGTGTAATTTTAAAATGGAGGGCTGATAGAAAAAACAAAATTGTGTCATTCAAGGGTTTTGATCATCAAAGCAACAATAGAAAAATAAAAAACCCCAACATGCAGTACCCAGTAGGTAGGGTGACTGTGAACTGACCCATAAAAGCTAATACACCAGTCTCTCCACGGAGAAATACTCTAGTCCATACTGGGGAGATGGACGCTTCAAACAATCATAACAAACGTTACCACGCATTTGAATTGTCCAACTAACTCACCTTGTTTTGATTCTGTGGTTACCAGCAATCTTCTGATTATAAATTGGCTTCCCATGAAGATCTGCCCACTGGGAGAGAATTTGCTATTTTCAAATCCACGTGAACAATTATGTTTGTCTTTGTAAATTAATAAATCGGCATTCTGGTTTATACATCAGTCCCTGAGCGTCCTTAGTGTGAATCCACATTCCCTGCATCAATCAGTTCTGCAACATTTAGAATAATAAGTTTATGAACATGCAAAACTGAAGGCCCCTCCTCCCCAAAAAAAAGACAAAAACAAAAAACAAACTGAAGCCCAGACGCCAAGCTGTGGTTAGTGCTACATTGTCAGACTTCTTCCTAAACAATCTTTCTTTCTTGGCAACTCCCACATCACCCTGGGAGTATAATGTACAATGAATAATATATACTGAACAAACACATTATAAACAGTTACTATGAAACAATTGGAAACCCTGGCGGCGTAGTGATTAAGAGCTATGGCTGTTAACCAAAATGTCGGCAGTTCAAATCCACCAGGCGCTCCTTGGAAACCGTAAGGGGCAGTTCTACCCTGTCCTATAGGGTCACTATGAGTCTGAATCGACTCGACAGCAACGGGTATGAAACAATTTTAGATAAGTGAAAAATAATTTGTATCAGATTTACAGTAACATAATACCATATATAATAACCATTAAAATTGACTTGGACCCAGAAATTAATAATACCTAGAGAAATTTCCTAATTTCTTGATTTTTTTTGTTTGAGAAACCTACTAATTTTATACTTATTAAAAAGGATTACCCTGAAAATTTGCAGTTCTATAAAATAATAGCTAACTTTTAATTTTATAAAAATTACACATACTCCGAATTATGACAAATCCCACATGCGTGAGAATGCATATATAGTTACAAGTACATACATATTTTAATCCACTTTCACACTTTCTGATAATTCCAGAAACCAAACTTGAATTATGACAAATGCCAAATTAAGTTTTTAGTATTAATGAGATATTCAGTACATTCATAAGTACCTTCATTCATAACCCACCTACACAGGTACATAAGTAGGGCCTACTTTTCACTGCAATGCATTTCTGGATATTGTGTTGTAAATGGTATTATCATAAAGTGGAGTCTGTTTTTCCAAGGTTATAATTGAGGGTTTATACCTTACAAAGGATTCATCTTCACATAAATCACTGCTACAACAAACAAGATGTCATAAAAGAAAAAAAAATACCTGAAAATAAACCTCTGCAAAAATTAAAATAATGAACTTCATTTATTCTTGCAATAAAATATTTATTAAGGACCTTTATGTTTTGGTCACACATGTTCTGTGTCCTATGATTTGTGCATAAATGTTCTGTGCAATTTATTTTACAAGGGTCCCCAATGTACATGCAGCACACGACACAGAAAACCCATTTGACTAAAATAATCTAGCTATAATAAACATTAGACATTTACTTGAACAATTGTGATTGCCTTCTTAGAATTTTGAAAGGGTTTTTATAGGGTCATCTTGATGTGAGGCTCTAACTAAAATGCTGCCCAAGGAAGTATGCAGTAAGACCGCCTTTTCTTCTTAACTTCTTTGAGCATGACACCAAAACCCCTGAGAGCATCAAGAATAGGAAAGGTTTCATTAAGAGCTAGGCCCTAGCTTTGAACACTTGTGAAGCTGCTTTCACTGAAAAAAAAAAATTGGGCCACTGCCAGACACCTGCTGGGCCTCACATCTCTCAGAATCCAAGGTCTGTGAATCGTTCCATTAGGGTCACATTTCCCACAAACTCCCTCTCAGCCTTGGACCTGATAGCCCGCTGCAGCCTGGCTTTATTATCTCCCACAAGAGCAAGACATACCTAAGACTTGCACCCCCCACACCCACCACCAATCACTCTGCAGAGCACAGGTGAAAGGATGCATTGGCTCTGTGTTATGGATGGAATTCCAAAACAAAAAAAATGTGTTGGAATCCAACCTATAGATGTAATCCTGTTTGGAAATAGGATTTTCTCTGTTAGGGTAATGAGGCCATGTCAGTGAAGGGTGTGCTAAAGCTAATCACTTCTGCATTATTACAAAGAGCAAATTAGACACAGATGCATGCACATACTGGGGACACAGATGCCAGGTGAGGATTGCCAAGAATCAAGGAATTCCTGGGGCTACAAGAAAGGAATCAACACAGCGGTTCCTCAAAAAACAAAAAATAGAACTACTATATGAACTAGCAATTCTACTCCTAGGTATATACCCAAAAGACTTGAAAGCAGAGACTCAAAAAGAGACTTATACACCAATGTTCATTGCAGCACTATTCACAATAGCCAAAAGGTGGTAACAATCTAAATGCCCATCAACAGATGAATGGATAAACAAAATGTGGTACATACATACAGTGGACTACTTACTACTCAGCCAGTAGGAGAAATGAGGTCTTGATACATGCTACAGTATAGATGGAGCTTGAAGACATTATGCTGAGTGAAATAAGTCAATCACAAAAAGACAAATATTGTATTACCTCACTTATATAAAAAAACAAGAAAAGGCAAACGCATAGAAACCAAAGTTTATTAGGGGTTGCCAAGGGCAGAAGGGGGGGGGAAGGGGGGTTAACGGTGATGAAAAAATTGCATGGTTTAAGGGTAGGGTTGCACAGCCGATTATTGTAATTGCTGTCGATAAGTTGTACACCCGTAAAAAGTTGAATTGGCAAAAGTTGTGCAATAGGTATTGTCTTCGTTATATAGTGCTGCTATAACAGAAATATCACAAGTGGATAGATTTAACAAAGAGAAGTTTATTCTCTCACAGTTTAGGAGGCTAGAAGTCTGAATTCAGGGTTCCAGCTCCAGGGGAAGGCTTTCTCTCTGTCAACTCTTAGGAAAGGTCCTTGTCATCAATCTCCCCTGGTCTAGGAGCTTCTCAGTGCAGGGACCCCAGGTCCAAAGGACGTGCTCCACTCCCAGCATTCCTTTCTTGGTAGCATGGGGCCCCACTCCTCTCTGCTCACTTCTCTCTTTTATATCTCAAAAGAGATTGATTCAAGATACAACCTAATCTTGTAGACTGAGTCCTGCTCATTAACATAACTGCCTCGAATCCTGCCTCATTAACATCATAGAGGTAAGATTTACAACACATAGGAAAATCACATCAGATGACAAAATGGTGGACAGTCACACAATACTGGGAATCATGGCCTAGCCAAGTTGACATACATTTTGGGGGTACACAATTCAATCCATAACAGATATTTTTACAACAATGACAAAAAAAAAGAGTAGCTGCTGAGGCTGCTTATGTACAACCAAACACCTCATGGGATCTGGTTTATTGGTTTGGAGGTTTAGGGTCAGGGTTTCATGGCACATCCCAGTTAACTGGCCTAATAACATGTTTAGTGCTTCTGTTCTACCTCCCAGTTCATTGTGTAGTGCCTAGAGTCTTAAAAGTTTGCAAGCGGCCATCCAAGGCACAACAATTGCTCTCTATTCACCTGGAGCAACAGAGGAAGAACAGCAGTCAGGAATAGGAGGAGGATATGGAATGTGTGGCTAACTGCCTCCATGAACAACTGCCTCCTTTGCCATGAGACCAGAAGAACTGGATGGTGCTCAGGTACCATTACTGAACATTTTGATCAAAGGTTCTGTAGAAGAATTCTGATCAAAACGGGGAAAATGCAAAACAATTTAAAACTCTCATGGACTCCAGACTTCCTGGAGCCATGAAGGTTGGATGAACCCCTGAAACTATTACCCTGAGATATTCTTTAAACCTTAAACCAAAAATCCCCTGAAGCCTTCTTTGAACCAAAAATAGTTCAGCTTCTTGATTAGTAAAGAATGTCTGCCTTAAGCATTGTATTCTTTTAAAGAACTATCTATATGGGATAAAGTTAACGACAGCAACTGGAAAAGTTAGATAGGAAGGTTAGGGGCACTGAGTTTATGTCAATGGAAGAGGAACAACTTGGAAAAGGAGGGTGAGAATGGTTGTACAACTTGAAGAATGTAATCAATGGCACTGAATTGTACATGTAGAAATTGTTGAATTGGCATATGTTCTGCAGTATATATTCTCAACAACAAAAAACAAATTATTAAAGAAAAAGATTTGCAAAAATGTGAAACAATGACACTCTTCTCATTATAGTTTTTTTTCTTTTTGTTTGGGAGATATTATTCCTCAT